GAGACTTATTTCTCCAGAATTTTTAGTAAATGTTCTAGCTCTTGCTCATGCTCATACTCAGCCCATTCTCCAAGCCTTTATTTTCTTGCTCTTGCTTAATTCTAATTCCTGCTTCTGCTCCAAATTCTCCTCTTGCTCTAGCTCTTGGTCTGGATCTTGCATTGCTCTTGCCCACGCTCCAGCTATAAATTTTGGTCTTGCTCTTGCTCTTGCTTCATCCACTCTTTCTTTTGCTGTTGATGTTGCTCTTGTTCTTGGACATATTTTTTATCTTGCTTCTGCTTGTTCACACTCCAACTTTTGTTCCTGCTCTAGCATTTGCTCTTGTTCCTGCTCTTGCTTATGCTCTTCAGCTTGCTGCTACACTTACACTCTCCAGCTCTTGATCTTGTTCTTGCTTTTGGCTTGCTTCTGCTCTGGCTCTCGCTCTTGCTCCCCTTCATGCTTCCAGCACTTGCTTTGCTCTGGTTCTTGCTATTGGTTCTGCCCCTGCTCGGTCGCTGTTTGTTAATCCTGTTTTAACTCAGCTTATCAATTTTGAAATAAATTCTTTAAAATCTTGCATTTACTGTATTTTTCAAGAATTATGAATAGATAAATTTTGGAAAAAATTTGATGTTTATTCTTCTGCATTTTCCTACTTTTTCATGTTATTATCTTTAAAAATATACTTATTTTTAATAAGTTACGGTATACTTCATTGGTATCATATGAAACAATATGCACTCGTGCTTTAGCGAAGGTATTCAAATATTCTTGTGTTTTGTTTTATTTTTTTTCAATTTATTTTCTTTGATTGCGAAGAGTTTATTTCCAATCAGCGAGTTGGAAAATAAATCTTTAACGAATTTATTTTTCAAGCTGAGTAAGTCGAGGTAGAAGACAGCGGTAAGGGAGAACGTAATCGTAAAATAGTAAATAAATATTAATAATATATAACATTAATAAATATATTATATAACATAGCCTATTTCATTCATATACTGATCAATATTTACTGCAAATTTACAATAATTGAAACTCTTAACTCATATTAATGGCATTCCAACGATAAATATCGTTACGTATACCCCGTGCTTATGGCTAGGGTATAGCAATTAAACTTCTCCTGCTTGGAACCGCATTAAAAATATAAAAAAAAACAACAACAATGCGGCCACGCCCACCGCAACGCCCATTTCGGCGATATTTAAATTGCATAACTGTTTGGCTTGGCCGGGAGTTAACGACGACGCTGACATCTCAGAGTTTCAGTCCAGGTGGCACAGACACAACTCCAGTTGCATCGCCCCGCCTCTGCCGCTGCCACCCTCTGCGATGCGTTGACTGTCTCGTTTGCTGGCCCGCGGAGATTTTTCAATGGCTGCGTCAAGTTGGCGGCATAAATAAACAACAACAATGACAATAGCAGCAGCAACAACAACAAAGGGCATAAGAATGGCAACAGACAACGCTGACAAGAGGGGCTGCAGCCATTTTTGCGTTGGCAAATGGAAATAAACTGCGACACGGGCAACTTTTGCCTCGCTGTGTTAATGGGTCAATTTATTTGGCTCTGGCTGACACTCTCTCACCCGCCCTCTCCGGCTTGACGTTTTACAAAATATGGCAACGACAGCGACTGTCGACGGACGTACACAGAAATTATGCCAGCGCATCTACATGCGCTTCAAAAATGCGAAAACTTTCGCTTGCACGAAACTATTTTCCAATTTTAATTGCCATCCCGCACGGCAGGTGGCGCTTTAGCTTTAGCTGGCCATACAGGCAACTGGCTCTAATTAACTGTCAACTTTATTTGGGCTTCCATTACGGAATCTTTCGAATAGTTTGATAATCGCCCGTTCACAACTTGAAATAGCTTTGCATAGCTGCGGGCGCAGTCGTCAACTGCTGTCATCTAAGAATAATGAGAATTTTTAATAAGCAATAGCGAAGAACTACACAAAATGTTATTTCACAGATGATTTAGCAGCTCCAGCAATGGCAAGCTATAACGACTGCTGCGACTGCATAATAAAGTGTCCATTCAGGGATTCATTTTACTTGGCTCCCACTCAACAACTGAACCATGTTTGGCTAACGACTGCTTAGCTCATTTCTGCACATAAATCAGTTATACACAAATATGAGTTATCGAAGTCTACAAAATCGATATTATTTCGATAATCTATAATCTATTTCAACTATATTAATGTTAAAATTGATATGATTAGTATAGAAATTGATTATATTAATGCATAAATCTATAATTCTAACACCCAAATTTCTTAAATTGTTAAAAAGTCGTAATTTTAACCATCGTGATCAATTATAGTGTTATTGAAATCAATATTAGGTAACATGGTTTTCGTGTATTACAAAAAACCTTCTGACTTATAAAGCGTTACTAACGAGCCAAATCAAAAACTTTCGTTTGATTTTCAAAATCGATAAGTAAATCGGTTAAGTTGATATAAAAAAATAAATAATGTTGCTCACTCTTAGTATCGATATCAACACGTATCGTATTTAATACTTCATTTCGCACATCATTTAAAGATCATAGACATGTTGTATAAATTATGCAAAGCAAAAAGCAAAAAACATATTTATTACGCCTGACCTCTTTGGGTGTAAGAAAAGAACAAAAGCGAATTGCATATTTCCGCTTTATTACCATATAGATAAATGGATAGTAAAAAGTATTTAAATTAAATTAAAAATGTTATTACGCATCTCTGAGCAGCTGTGTGCGCTACATTAAGCGCAACTAAATGTCATTGGCAAAAAAAAAAAAAAAACATAAGCAAAAAAAAAATGCACACAATGAAAACATTTATCAATCGGTTAAATTGCTGGCCTGTAAAATATTTGCCCACAATTAAGTGAAACAGTGACGCGTGTGCATATAATTTATGATTTCATTTAACCAACTCAACTGCGAGTAATTATGCGACCGCACACACACACGCACAGACACACACACACATTTGATAAACACACACATCACTCATACGCGCCGTAAGCCGAAGACCCCGAAATTAGACAACGTTCCGCTGTGTTGCCGCTAACGCGTCATGGCGGTTGCTGCATGGGGCGGCACGAGGCGGGGGATGAGCGCGTTCGCCATCAACAGTCCGTATAAATTGACCGCAGCTGTGAGCACGGACCTGCTTTAGCGCCTTGCGACCCTTAGGGGCAAACGCAGCCGCACACTCACGCACATTACGTATACGCGGCGAGTGCCTTGCCTGCTCGAATGGCCGCCTGCCTGGCTGTGCGAATTAATGACTAGTCGTTGGGTTTATCTGCAGCGCTTAATTTGAAACGATTTCGCTTACTTTCACTCGCCGACTCGCTGAGCAGTTGTCGGCTTTAATTTTTCGTGAAACGAAGTTAAATTAATTAACAATTTATTGATTTAATGGTCAAACGAAACACACAAACATTAAGCCTTGCCGCCGCGTTACATCATTTGCGTAAGGCTGCAATAATTGCAAATTACAACGCGTTTATTAATGGACACACAGGCAACATTTAATTAAAATAACTGCGTTGAAAACTATTTGCAAACACAAATGCCAATTAGTTGGCATAAAATGAGCAACTTTTTGCGTCGATTCGCACTCGCACTGAAGGCAGCAGCAACTGCCTAGCCGGGCGCTTCATTAAAGCACTTGTCAGCTACTTACCTTACCTCTGATTGCTCATCAAAGACACAAATTCCAGTCTCGTGTGTTGACTGGGTTAACTTTGATGATGCAGCAGCAGCATCGGATTGCAAAAGTGAACCAATTGCAATCGAACATCCTCGATGAAAGCCAAACACTTGCCAAACAAAAACGTCTTTTTGCACCTGTTAAAGTGACTGGTGTGGCTGATATAGAGACCGTAACATCCTTTAAATGAAACGCCACTCTAAACATGGCAATCTTGATTACTCCTTTCTGTGCACAGTTAGAAAAAAAGTTGATTTTCCATTGGGCAGCTGACATAATGAAGCTGACCTAAGGCACTTCATATCATGATATTTTGACTTTCTTAAATCTCTTTTTCATTAAGTTCTCATTAAGTTAAGTTCTCACTAAACCATAAATTTCTTACCAAAGTCTCTTTGTGTCTTCTTATACTCACATCAATCTCCTCTGTCCATCGAGTAGTTGCGCCACTTCAAGTCCAAGAAAAATCAAAATTTTGATGGAAACAATTAGCCAAATGGATTATTGAAACTGACAGAGAGACTATAGAAAGTCGCAGTTCATAAATTCATTTGATGATTTTTTTGCCAAAATATTTGCTGAACTTAAAATTATTATTTTTTTTTGTAAGCTGAAAATACTTTAAAAATTTAAAATGAGGTTTAGAAGAGGCACTATAAAGATACAAAAATAAAAATATATTTAAATATTTTAATTATTATTAATTATTAAATATATGCAGAGTCAACATATAAATAAAAGAAAGACTTCTTTGAGTTTGTTTTATAATGTCTTTAATCAAATGAATTTTATTGCAGCTCACATTGTTTTTAGAGAACTGTTTGCTTAGGTTATCTGTGTGACATGAGTTTTACTTTTATTTTACTTTTATCTTGTTCCAATTGTTATGATTTTAAGCCGAATGCTTGTTAAACTATATATATATGTATATATAGAGATATATAATGTTTTGATGGAGTGTGCAGTATTTTGTCATCATTTACTTTAGGTTTATTTTTCTTACTTTATTTTATTTTTGTTATAAATGTTTTTTTTTTGGGTTTTTTGATTTTTTTCATTTAGCTTATATTACATTTATATAGTTTGCATTTATTTGATAGTTTTGCTGACATTTATAAGACTTTATTTGTTTAAATTGTTTTGCAAATAAAGTACGTTTGTTAATTAGTTAATTCAGTTAACTAAAGTTGGCAAATGAATTGAAATTTATTTACATAAGTAGATTTTTAATTAATATATATATTTTTTTATACATTTGCTGCTCAAATTAACAATTTATTTATTTTTATAGTGGCTATTTGTTATAGTTTTTTTTTTATATATTTTGTGATCGCGTTTTTCGTCTTTTTGGTGCTAGGGAAAGTGTTAAATTAAATTGAAAGCGCACAAGTAATTTAACACTTTGCCATTACAATTATAATTAGTTTTTTTCATTATTTTTATTTGATGTTCGTTTTTATCTCTCTTATTGACTATCGTCGATTTTCTGCTGTGTTTAGTTATTGTTATGTACTTTTACGCTATGCATAAAATTAACACTAATTCTTGTATATCATTTATTGCATGACATCTTTCCGTTGTAATTATATTTTTTATTATTTTTTTTTTGTAACTAACAATTAAATTATTTACAGTTTGCTGTGTGGATAATCGCTTAACTTAATTATCATGATGTCATAGACTGCTGCAGCTGATGCTGTGGCTGCTCGTGCCGCCGTTGCTGTTGCTGTTGCTGTGTATGCCGCCTGGATTCATAATTGATATGCACTAAGGATGAAGAGAGTGGAGAGGAATTAGTACCGAGTAGCCAGCGAAGCCATCGCACCACCGCGCTGACTGCCAATGCCAGAGCCAGGTTGAAGTTGAGGCTGCTTCGAAGGCAGCTGCCATTGCCGCCACTTTTCTGCATAGCCGCTGGGCTTTCGTCTGAGAAAATAGAAGATGAAGAAAATTGAAGAAATTGAAGAAAAATGCAGGAGGGATTGAATGTCGAGTGCCTGCCACTTACCGTTAATGACATTGACCACAACGCTGGCCGCCTCGGCTGTCGTCGGCATGCACGTGTAGTTGCCCGTGTCCAGCAACTGGGCATTGGCAATTCGCAATCTGGAAAGCGATTAAAGCGAAAGTTTAAAGCAAAGAGCAAGCCACACTTCAGCATTCAACATGGGGCCAATCAGTTGCCACATGAATTCAACTTCATTGATCAAAGTTGCAGCCATTCAGCTGGAAACTAACAAGAGCCAAAGTAGAGACGCCCATCTATTGAGCATGTAGTTGTTGTGTTGCACGCCCTCTGCTTAGTTGAGCGTCTGAATACCTTCATATTGATACCTGATGCTAACCTAACCCTTGAACTGGCTGATGATGATGATGATCATGATGATGACGAGGATGATGATGATGAGGGCTATTGCTTACCTGCTTTGCAGCTTCTCGGCAAGCGTTGATTCCATCGAGATGCGCTGCAAATCGATGGCAGCATCATTCGGATGCGCCACAAAAGGTGTCAGAATGTACGGACCGCGATACCAGTAAATTGGTCCAATATCCTGGGCCGCCGTTGCCGGCTGCTTCACGTGGCATGTGAGCGTTATGACGCTGCCCACTTTAACGTACAAATCCGTTGGTCCGGCTATAATCGCTTTGGCATCTGGCGGCGTCACTGTAAATGGCAAATGGAACGTGCGCAAAATTGATTAATAGCACTTCTAGGCATTCGCTCCCCATCGCATCGATACAGCTCCAAATCCAATACCCAAATCCGCATCCCACCCGCTCACTGGCTTAACGGCTGTTAAGCATGTGGCTAACCGCTGGCAACAACGTCAACGCCAGCATTTCATTGGTATGGCGACAATTCAGCAGATCATCCACAATTACACTCGATGAATCAAAGATGCACCAGCATACCACAAGCACTGCCTACCAAAAGTCTGTCAACGTTGGCGACCCCTTAATAAGCGCCTCGCCCAGGTTCAACTGTCGACCAGGCTACGTGACGCCCTGGCCGAGCACACAAAATTCCTTTAAAATTCAACGGGCTTTTCGCTTTGATTGCGTATCTAGATTTAGGCTTTAAGAGGGCTACGTTTTTCAGCATTTATTTACACTTGAGTGATATTAAACATATCTACTAGAATATATCTAAATGCAAAAGAAAATATTTCACTATTTAATTTTAAATTTTAAAAATATTTGGCTGATATAAAATTATAAAATTGTTCCATAATTTAATTTTTTCTTATTTAGCAAAATCTGTGGACAATACTTTGATAATGAAATTAAACAATTCACTCATTAACAGCTCAAAATGTTTTGTTCTGTATTGGTCTAGATAATGTCAAAGTACTTTGAGTATTAGGCCAAAAATGTATTATTGGCCATTGACTTTTCAATGAACTTGGCCATAAAGCAGAGCACAATATTTTGATTGTGCGTCAATAGAAGGAAACCTAATGAAGTATACCAATTGAGAGATGAAACGTCACATTTTGTCGTAATCTTTTGGCAATCGATGCTGGGAAACCATAAGACACAAAGAGTGTATATTTAAATTTGGGTATACTAAGAATATCTATATATATAAATATATAATAAATATTGGTATTATATATATTAATAAAGTCTTGGTATATATATATATGTATATATATGAATGTATATATGAATATATGTGAATTAAAAGAAATGATTCATAAATATTTATTATAATAAATAAATATTTATATATATTTTTATTTTAATATTTACTATAATAAATAAATACTTTTAATTAAATATTAATTCATTTTATGTAATTTATAAAATTTATTTGATGAGCAATTCTAATCAGATAAAACATAATGAAGACCAATTAGTATATATATAATATATGACTCTAGTGGCACGTTTGTTCATACTGAACTACAACAGATGTACTTTATGGTTTCAGAGAGAGAAAGAGAGAGAGAGAGATATGGTGAGAAAAAGCGTGCTCTTTAACTGTGTCGCCATTAAAGCGTTTCGCTCAGTGTTTTGCGTGGTCCACTCTGTTGGGCTCTAAGAAGTAAACATTTCTATATCGATTTATATTCCAAGTTGTTGTCATACTGTCAGTTGGTTAGGCGACGATTCGTTACCCAGTGGGCGCTAAGCTATTATCAAGTTAACTAACTGGCCGCCTCGACAGCCTCGTCTGTCTCTGTTGTTTCACTGAAATCGGCTTTACTGGCTGCTGGCTGCTGGCTGCTAATGCTAACTTGTCTCTGTCCCCCACTGCACATCATTAACAACGTCAACAGTTGACTTTGTTGACGGTCTGCCGTTGGCCAAACCGTTCGGTCGACGCACAGAAAAAACATTAAACCAATTTTCAGTGCCTACGAGTGGGAAAATGTTTGCTATATGCGCGTAGACGAGTGTATGCCACGCATTTGTCTCTGTCTGCGGCAGCTGCTAACTGCCAACTGCCAACTGCCAACATCTACAGCAGCAGCAGCAGCAACAACATCAAGTTATCTCGCCCCCAAAATCAAGGCCAATATTAGAAAGCCACGCAGGCAGTCAGGCAAAGCAACAGCCATCAACGCAATGCTGTGAACATAATGGTTCCGTTCATGATCCGCACTCACACATGTTTCGCCCTTCGACCTATAACCCGCTACAACATCCTCTCCCACACATGTGCGTGCACTAACAACTGGCGAACAATACTTAAAATGCGTGTAAAATGCGCGACAGGCAACAAGAATTGCGCCTCACAACATCTTTATTCGCCCAGCGCCGCCCACGCGTACCATGGGTCAATGTTAGATCCCAACCCAACACACAAGAGAGGAACTCCCCAAGCACACATACAATCAGAAATAACACAGAGAACAACCAAATATTTTGGGCTTTGTGGTTACAAATTTTTATGTGTTAGTTTTGCCATTTCATTTAGTTTTTGTTTTTTCGGCATACTCTGTACACATTTAATACATGAAATAGGGTATGCTAACGTAGCAGAAGTTATTGTTGCTAAATAAAGCAAAAAATTGTTACTGATAAACTGAGAAATAAATTAGTCAAGGACATGGAAAAAATAACTAGATTGAAAGAAAGAGCTAAAGTCGGAGTCTTACATCAGCAATCTTTTATGTTGAGCTTTTGGTGTTTTATTACAGGGTATCTACTAGCCATTTGCCACTAGTTAGGTGCGGATTTTTATGATGATTATGTGCCTGTTATGGGCTGCTATTGATAACACAAAGACCACCCACGAGCAATTCCCTGGAATTGACTCTTCACTTAATAGCCACCTGAATTGTGAAGTCCTGCGAGAGTTGCGCTTTATGGCACAGATTAAGGCGGCAGACAATCAAAACAATTTATATGTACATATATATAGGTATCTACACATTCGGTATATACTATTGATATTCAAGCAGAAGCTCAGCCCAAATAATGTAAAGTGTAATTAAATTTATTTCAAATAATTTCTGACTGCTTAAGATATTAATTTTAATGTATGTTTAAAGTAATAATTTAATGTAATTAAAATTAAATTCTATTTATTTTTATTTTATAAAAAAATATAGTTAAACTCTAAATGATTTGCTATGGAAATAAATCGGTTTAGCTTTATTCATTTAATTTTTAATTTTTTTTTTTTCAGCAAACAACAAAAAATAAATAAAATTCTCAGAACATACATCATAATTATTTTTACTTTTTACTTTCACTTTCTTGGTCTCAGCTTAAATACTCTGCAACTATTTAGTCTTCAATTGGCAGAGCTAAACGCAGGCAGTTGATAGTCTTCTGTCCACAAGTTAGATTTAAACTGGCAAACACGATTTATGGCACAGTTTCTTGTGCGATTTGTATGTGCTGCATATAGCCAGCTTAAATCTAAAATATAATTTGTTTGCACTCGCTCGAGAGGAATTTTTTGCCCGTTGTTTCTGGGGGAGGGGGCAAGCTTTCCTGCTCGCTTTTGGGTGCGTAAGACCGGTGACGGAATATTTTATCACGCCGCCAACTCCAGAAGCCAACAGCAAAATAAGTCAAAGTGTCTAGCTGGCGAGTGCACGACTAGCAAATGCCCTGTAACACTAGTGTAGGGATTTATAGACTTCAAATTAGCCTTAAAATAAGAATGCTCTACATCAATTAATATCTTTTGCAACCACTATATAATCGATACCTACAAGTATTTGTAAGTTAAAAACGTGAACAGATATAGATAAACAAATTACTGTATAGCTTTATATATAGACTTTGCCGTTAATGCTGATCAAGATTAAGATCTATATCTTATCTCAGACTATCGCACAATATACCCCATTCTAGACATTTGCAATTCGGCTATAAAAATCTGCGCTGAGCATTTTTCTTTTTCACTTTTCTTCGTTTTATTTTCTCAAATAATTTGCATAAATTTTTCTTCTTGGCATTGCGGCGACTTTCCGTCGCCGGCACAAGAAACTGGCAGAGGCGAAGGCAGCATACGAAGGGCGAAGGGATTAGTTTTTTTTTGCCTTGCCAAAGTGTGTTTTGGTGCAGGTTGCAAGTGCAACGGAAGCACCCAAGTGCGACGGGGGCCGAGGAGGGTTTGAACAGGAAGCGACAACGCGTTGATTTGAGTTTATAGCTGTTGATGAGATTTGGCCCCCGAGTTTGTTATAAATAAAGTCAGGTGGTTCCTGCTAGCCAATTTGTAGTTGCGAATCCCCAGCTGCTGCTGCTCTGCTCTAGTGCTTCCTGCTAAACGTGTCTGCGTTGTTGTCTGTTGCTGCTCTTTTGAGAACATGTGCGCTACATATATCACAGCAAAAATGTTGCTACTACCAACAAGAAGCCAACATTTTTAGCTAATTGAATCACTTGAATGGCTCTCGAGTGGATTCGAGCAAAACGACCGAATACCCCCGAAGGAATACACAAGTGACTCGCATTCGAATCAAATCATATCGCATTACGTTCGAAACTAAACCAATCAAACCGAACAAAAACATAAACCAAAAAAAAAAGAAAAGAAGGAGAAACTATTCAATAATTTCAATTAACTTTGGCTGGGAATACAAAAAAAAAGGGAAGGGGGCAAAAATATAATCAAAATAAATAAATAAGCAAAAGTTTTGCCTTCGAACACGATGACAAACATTGAGCCAAAAAAAAAAAGGGAAAAAAACTTTCTAAATCAATTTTATGTGCATGAATGAAACATGAACGTGCATGCTATTGTGTAACAATTTATAACAAACAAACACACACACGCACAAACTCAAGCACACACAGGAGGCAACGATCCTGAGTTGAGACTCAACGGAAATCCATTGTAGAAAACTTGTAAAATGCCAAAACAATGGCATGAGAGCGCAGTGTAAACGTGCAAAACACACCTCAAAGGATTTAACACACACACTGCCTTCGGGGGCCACGCCTGCGTCTCGGCCTGGCTGGTGTGTATTACAGCCAGCATATGAATTTAGTATTGAATTTAAATGCAAATTGCGTTTGCATGCAAAACGTGTGGAAAAGTGTAGAGCAAAACAAAAAGATAGTGCCCCAGACATACATGCCGGCTACATACATACATATATACACACATATCTATCTGCGTACATATACAGACATCTTTATCTGCAGCCAGACGCCCATTAAGCTGACCCACATTAGACCGCCAGCCCACTTGACCACTTGATAAACTCCATTTGATGGGCTATTCTAGAAATTGGCAAGTGCTTTGTGCTATCAAGACATGCCCATCAAAGTGGTTCGATTATCATAATTATAGTGTTAGCACTTTAATTAAATAGCCTCCATAAGAACCAGCAACTGCATCCATTCAAAGTTCAATTGTTTTTAATAATTCTTTGCGAATATTAAATTGTTTACTGGCTTAAACTCGTTTTATGGTAGATCAATTAAAGATTTTTTTGCTAATTACGAAAAAATTATGACTTCAACTGAATTGAAGAGAAATAGAAATAGTAGAATTAAAAAGAGTTTTTATAAATTGTTTATAAACTATTTTAAGCATTTTTATATTTTTCGTAGCTAAACACATATATCTTGGACTTAAAACTTAGATTAGGACCACATCTTTGTAAATGTTGACAGCCGAAACATATTTAATATATTCTAGGTATATAACATTATATAGAAATTTATTTATTAATTAGTAAAATTAGAAATATATTTTAAAAAAATTCCAAAAAATATTTAATTTACAAAATGAATTATTTTAATTGTAATTAAATTAATTGAAATGAAAAATAAAAAATAATTTTTATAATTCAAGATAAATTAATTTACCAAATTAATCTATGATTAAGAATAAATTACTTTAAAATAATCGAAGGCAAATATTGTTTTGCTGCATAATAAAAACGCGCAATTTCTTTAAAACGAAAAATAAATATTTAATATCTGCTTAATGGCAAACAAAGTCAGCTATAATATTTATGAGCATATGTGTTCGCTTCCTCTTCTCCTTTTTATCAATATATTGATGCATTTGTTATTGAAGAAAAAATGCTTAAAAGTCGCTTTAATTTCAACTCACATTTTTATGGCTCATAAAAGAAACCCTTAAAGAACGTACACATGCGTATATAGACTTATATATGCATATGTATAATAAGTCTGTGTATGTATGGCTGTGTGTGTGGGCGTATTTGCTGCTGTAGAAATTGGCTTATTGTACATATTTACACGCTGCATTGCGACATGATGTCGCAGCATGACGCATGACTAACAAAAACTTTATGCAAAGTTCCCACCAAATGCATCTGACAAAGTTTGCCAACAATTTGAAAGACACTCTCCCCAATGGCTGGGTTAGTCTACAACAAAAAGTTGTCAGTTGCCAGTTGCCAGTTGGAAGTCGTGCGAGGACAACTCGTTGACAATGCATAAGAACTCCGAATGGGTGTTTATTACAAAGTCTGGAGCAAGAGTGGGAGAGACAGAGAGAGAGAGAGAGAAAGGCGGGCTTACTCACCTATAACATTCAAGCGAAATGCCATCGAAATCTTTGGCTCCGTATTCACCTGGCACTCGTAGATGCCGCTGTCACGTGGCTGCGCATATTTCACATGCAATGTCCAATCCTTCGAGTCGGCGGTGCGTACGACCTGCAAGCCAAAATGCATAGATAAATCGTTAAGGCAATGTCAGTCGAGTTGCAGAGCTAAGGGTGTCCGGGGGGGTTGGAGTAGAGCAGCTTTCAGCTGAGCCTGCCTTTTGGCAATGTCCTTGGGCCAAATTTAATCAATGCATACAAGCCAGGCAGGCAGGTGAGTAGCAACGAAATGCATACGCAATTAAGCTGACTTGGCTTACAAATGGTTCAGTCAAGCCAACCCCCTTCGCCCCTGGCCTCTTTTAATAAGCCAGACAGGCAGAGTGAGAGAGACAAGGTAGTTGAGTACAATAAGTAGATTACGTATACGCACCTTGAAGCGCTCATCAGAAGTGTAGGTCAGAATGCCTGCAGTCAGAATGTGCAAATCGCGTTTCCTTATCCAAGATACCTGCAAATAGACAAAAGGCACACGCACACACATACATATAGAAAGAGTGAGCAAGACAGAAGGACAATGAGCGCTTAAGTCAATTTTAAAAATTGCTTTGGCCCTGGCCAAAGGGGACCTGGCCAAAATAAAGATAGAAAATTTAATAAACCAAACGACGAAATGAACTAAACGCTGTAAAAAAAAAAATATATATATATATATATATACAAAAAAAAAATGAAAGAAATAAAAAGAACAAAAACTAAAAAACTTTAGTAAATACAGAAGCAGCAGCGGCGGCGCCGGCAGCGGCAGCGGCTGCAGACAAAGCGATTTGCGAGTAGACCTGCAGCCAGGCAGCATTCGGCAGCAGGACGAAGCACGAAGTGCGTGCCCAAAATGTCAGCGGCTTAAAGTTACCAAAGCCTTCGAAAAATGGTGGCTATAGCTCTCCGCCTCGTCCACCCCATTCCGCAAAAGCAGCCAAAAAGTAATCTGCAAACCTGCCGCAGGCAACCAAAACTTTTTGTTCTGCTAAAGAAAAAAAGGGCCAAAAACAAAACACGAAAAACTGAAGCCCAAACTAAAAGTGTCAAAGTGGCAAAAGGAAACGGAATTCGCCCACCTTCAATACGAAAAAACGAAAAAAATGAACAGAAAAGCGAAAGGCAAAACAGAAAGAAAGGTGCTACTAAATCTCGCTGGATGATGATGAGCTGGGTGCGGACTCTTTTGATGGGTCTTGGCTAAGGTGCAAAAAAGTCGAAACCGAAAAGGCAAAGCTGCGCAAAGCTATGCAAAGCAGCGCCGTTCGCAATGATAGATTTAGTGACTGCTCTTTCGGAAAACGCCACAGCGAAAGGTGACAAACGAAAAAAGTAGGAAAGTGGAAACCCAAACCAAACCAAACCAGATGCTAAGCATTCATTGGGGTTAAGCTGAAAACTTTCTGCAAAACTGACCTTGCAACTAGTTCAGATTAATGATGCAATAGCTCTTAGAAAACCAACTTGAACAAGTGCTGTTCGCTTTAGTTAGAAAAACAAAAGTGGCAAAGTTTTGAGTGAAGAAATTGAAAAGGGTTCAAAATGTTACTGCTCAAATATTAGTTTATAAGAAGAAAACATTTTCAAGTATCACAAGATGAAATGATACACCTGAAATCATTTGTGCTTTGCTACGTATCTAGAATAAACTTAACACTTTTGTTGCTAAATTAGTATGAACAGCCAACAGATTCAAGGAGCCAAGGTCTACTCTAGCGTAAGAAGGGATTGATTTCGATGGAAGAAAATTCACTCCTGCAGTGAAGCTTTCGTCCCTCGGGAAAATATTCAAGCCTCCACATAGGCCGAATCTCTTTTTGTCTACAATACTGAAGCCTTTATCTTCGAGTGAGCTGCGGGAGAGCATTAAGCCACATTCGAATCGATTAAGTATATTGTAATGACTTCACTATACTCCAATTACACATGGTCATGGCAATATAAGTTAGTTCTTTGTAGAGCAAAATAAATATTCCTGGCTGATAAGAAATGTATTTATTTAATCAGCAAAATTCCTTAAAAATTCAAACATATTAATTCCATGGTACAAGTCTTGGCTTAAACTATTATTACATTCTGCTAAGAATTTTTTGGTTTTTTTTTTACTTTAACAGAAAAAAACACTCAAAATATGTATCATAATGTATATGTCTGATAGAGTTTAAGGCTCTGGAGTTCCAACAGCCAAATTTATAAAATAAAACAATTAATTTCTTAGTAAATAATTCCAAATAAATGCTTTCACAATGAACTGCTTTGTACGTTTTGTAAATATACTTTTAATAGACTATGTTAATTTCCAAGAAACTTTATTATATTCAAATATTGCCAATAGCATGCTAGGTACTAGATTCTAAAAGCCTTTTCCACTCCAACAAGCAAACTTGTATAACAGAAACTTAAATTGTCTACCTCAAGTAAAGAGAAGCTCAGCATTAATTGATTGGCACTCATTTCTATGCACAGCACAAATATTTCACAGCAAGTGCAAACAAGCCGCAAAAAAAAACAGGCAAAAAGAAGAAGCAGAAGAAAATTGAACAATGTTGTAAAGTGAAAGAAAAACGCAGTGAAATAAACTTTAAAGTTGATGAAGCAGCGCAGAGCAATCAATAGATATGAGAGCAACGGGAAGTAAAAAAGCAGCGAAATTAAGAGAAAAAAAAACAGAGAATCGCGGAAGATGAAACACAATGCAAAACCATAAACTAAACTTTTCGGGGGTGGCGCATGCCAATGGACTCGACAAAGCAGTAAACAGCACCAAGGTTGGGGGCAAAGGACATTCAAGCAAGAAAATTACCGAAAAAAAGAGCAGATGAAAGATGATGGGGCATGCGGACAATGAAAGCGGAACCGGAAAACGATACGAGTAGCTGAACAAACTGACAAAAAAAGAAGAAGAACCCAGAAAAAAAGAAACTGTAGTGGAAAAAAAACCAAACTTTGGCGACTTAGTCGACTTTGTGGACTTTGGCGGTAACTTGATTTTCAGCTTGACTAGTCCCCGGCAAGGTCAATATTTGCCCGGGCGCTAGTTAAAACTGCATAAAATATATATCCGAGAGGGAGAAAAAAAAACGCATTTTAAGATAAGCAACCGCACACAATGGCGTTAGCACTTGACTCACCGATTTATCGCGCAGATTCTCCACACGGCAATTGATGGCCGCTGTGTGTCCCGTCCTAGCGGTAATATTCCGTGGCATGCCGAAATCAAAGACCGGCGGCGGATAAGTTGTCTCATCCACTTGCTCGTCCACCAGCTCGTCCAAGCCATTGTCAAACTGCGCCACATTGTTGTGGTGCAAGTGGTGGTTGCCATTCCCATTCCCATTTCCATTCATGTTGTGGCTGTGGCCATGGCCATTGACCAGGGAGGCGATATATACATCATCCACAGCCGCAATAGAGGGCAACAAGTCGTTGTCTATGAGGCCATCAGCTGCAAAAGAAAGAGAAAACCGAGAGAAATTGAGAAATTGATAAATTGAGAAGCGAGAAGCAAGCATAGAGAATTGAATAAGCAAATGCCGCAATTGTTGATTGAATTGCCTGCCTACAAAACTTCGTTTACAGCTTAGACTAGGCAAAAAACAAGTGAGAATATTTAAGACGGCTGTGCATGACTAGAAAATACCCTCGTCGAATGCCATATTTATTAGACTGATGGAAAATCGAAGCTTACTTTTCGAAACTCTCAGCACAGTTTTAGTGTTTATGGTTCAACATTTGTTAGGTATACTTAATAATGTCTATAACTTTGCAAGTCACTGTTTCTAATTCTACTTCATTTTATTACAAGCAATTTAAGCAAGGTAGTATACCCTATTGACTGATTTTGAATGAGTATACCAAAAAAAAGGCACTTAAGTCTAATGGCGTAACGCATAGAGCCCCTAAACAAAAGGGTATACAAAGACGAGTGCATTGAAAGCAAATTAATTAAATGCCACTCAATGCCCAGAGCCCAAGTGCTTGAGCATGTGAGAAAAGTCAAAAGGAGATTGTTCAGTGTGTTCATGTGTGCTGCGTATGTGTGTGTGTGCTATCTGTGTGCGTACTTGAGCTCAGTTTGCAGACAGCTGAAATGACGGCTTGGCTTGAAGACAATGGCCAATAGAATGCAGCAGTTACCCACTGGCGGAAAATGCTCGTTATAATAATTATAAAAAGCATTGTAGACCCACAATCAAACGATTGCTCTCTGCTCTCTGCTCTGCAGCTAAACAACGGAAATTGTTTTTAATTAAAATAAACGAGCGCTTTAATGGCCTTGCGGCCGGAAGTGCACATAAAACAGAACTCGCTTCGCATTCCTTTCACGCGCTTGCCAAATAGCCATAAAAAATACCAGAAAAAATTTGACAACTCTGAAATTACAGTTAATGAGCGCAATAGAAAACGTGCAAAGCGCCAAAACAACAATTTTTATTTGTTTAAGTCAAAGAAATCTAAAATCATCAACAGCCGGTGGCTCTACTTAAGGAACACATTCAGCAGATCAGTTCTATATTTAGCTGGCAAAAGATGGAACAGTGAAAAAAGATTAATTAAAAGACTTGAGATTGATAACGTATATGATGTAAAAAAGGTCTTAATAAGATTAGATTCGATTAGATAAGTCTCTTTTAAATCTTATGAAAAATATTTCAAGAGTTTAATTTTATTGCTAACCCAAAAAGCTCTCTAAGTTATCAAAGAGACCATCCATTGACCATTATCCTGAAGTTTCGTAATCAAATTAAATATATATTAAATTATAAATCCATCTATAAACTACCTAATCAGCTCTTTCTAACTCAATAAATTTAATGAAATTTTTATAAAAATATATATAAATAAAAAAAATTCTATTTCTAAATCTAAATTATTTAACAAATATTTAAAAATTTAAGAAATTCAATATATTTCATAATTTTATTTAAATAATAATTTTGTTATGAATTTTAAATAATTGATAAAATATATTCAACTCATTTTGTAGCTATATTTGTTCGTAATTATCTTAGTTTACTCAGCTTAAAAATAATATGTATATTCTCTAAACAAAAATTTAGTTTGGCTTAATATTTTTTATACATCATATAGACTTTAAGATTGTGAAATAATTTAGTTTTACATTTATTTCTACTTATTTCTCGAAAGAAATATTTAATATTCATCTACAATTTACACTCCATACTTGAAATTAAAAAATACCTTGTGCAGTCTGCTCAGCAATGTCTGACATTTCATTGACCGTTTAGCCAAAGTTCAAAGTTCACACTCAGATTTATGAATATATATGGTGCATATATGCAAGATATGCACACACCCACACACATACATTAGACACGCTCGACCGCGCACAAATTCCTGTGACTCGTGCATTATCATTCTTCCTCTTCTAGCTCCATTTTTGTTGTCAAGTGCAACACTTGGTGGCATTCCAAAGTAAAATGCATATTTTTGCATTTGAATTTATTTGACATTTTAATGAGCGCATAATGCCGGAGCCGACGCACCGAGACACACGTAACAGCGACACTTAGAATTCAACGTGCGCGGCTGCTTCTCAATTTAGCTCGTTGCCACTGTCGCCGCACGACCAACTGCTGACAGCGCCAACTGCTCCCCGTATACCCTAACTGCAGCTCTCTAACTGGGTCACTCACTTTGGCAGCTGCTACTGCTGCTGCTGTTGCACTTGAATCTTTTAGGCCGTTGTGGCACTTCTGCATGTTAGACACAAAAATCTAAATTATTTAAGTGCCCACACACACACACACACACACACACAGAGGGAGAGAGACACACATGGGAAGCGAGCAAGAGAAAAACAGGTGGGAGACATATGCACACATCCGTTTTTGCCATGTGCGAAGCGCCATTTGCCTAGTATGACACTGCTAGATACCCATTGAATGCTTGAAATTAAAAAAAAAATCTATTAAACGTATTTTTTTTTATTAGAAAAATTAAAGCTAAGCTCGATTATGTGCTCCAGCCTGCTGGCACATGCAGTCGCTTGCACTAGCAAGCCCGCCTTTACGTGCTCTCGTCTACAGGGTATAGCAAAAGTAAACTACACACACGCGAAAAAAAGGAACATGCAAAAAAGCGCCAAAGTGAGTATTGCACTTGTTGTTGTTGTTGTTGTTTGGCTTTATGCTGCAGACACACTCATATCACACACACACACAGACGCAGACACTCGAACGCTCATATTTTTTGGCATCATTTAGATGCTCGTCGAGCAACTGATGCAAATTTAATTTGGACACCTCACACAAAAAGCGCGCAGGGATGGGTCCTTGGGCGGGGCGGCTTGTGGTGTACCCATGGGGATTTGGTTAAGGGTAGCTATCTGCGCCATAACTTGCGCTTGAGTGTGTATGAACTGCAACTAATGATGTTGCAGGCACTCGAATGCGCCTTTTTGATTTAACGATCGACTTTTTTTAAGTGAAATTCTCTTTGTTGTTGTTGTTGTTGTTGATGATAACGCGGCAGCGAGGTTGAAGGTTGCAGATTGGTTAGCAGCGCGGGCAAGAGCTTAATGACTGGTTGGCTTGGTTTGGTTAGCTGGCTGGCTGCGGTTTATGGTTGCCTTTTGACTTTTGGTTGGTTTGTTGAGTGTTGTTTTTTTTTTTTTTTTTTGGTTTTGTTGATTTTGCTTCTTCTTGTTTTTGCTGCGGCCTATAAAGCTGCTGCGCCGTTGCACAAAGTTTATTATAAACTTAACTGTTGCAGAGAGTACAAATTTGTTTCTCTTTCTCCCCAAACTGCGAACAAAGCACGCAAGTCAAGTGGTTCACATAAGCCTTTGATTGACCTTGTTCAACTGTCAAATGGGCGTCGAATAAATGCAAATATTATGCCGACTACCCATGTGGCTTAGGGGATCAAAATATGCTTAGCTGATTAGGTGTGTGATTTAAGCTGCTTTACGGATTTGGTTTAAGCACTCAATTGATGCCAAATAGATGACAATGTACACACACTCACACACTTGAAGTATTTACAAATTTCAAGCCCCAACAAGCTCAATAGACAGAACGTGCTTTTCAGCAATTATAAGCGGAGCTAGGTAGGGGAAACGTGACTGAATGGGTGCTATATAGGAATACAAATAGATGAGCGCAATACCACAGATGCGGGACTATTTTTAGATATACGTATTCTTCTGGCTTGTCGCGCCCAAAGTAGGATTTTGTAACCCCAAGAGGAAGACAAACAAAGGAAACGCGCTCGTTGTCTGCGACGTAAATAAAATATTTCCGTTGAATAAGAAGAGATATTGAGGGTATTATTTTTTAATGTCGCCCAACGCGGCACATTTAAAGGTGCAATAATATATAAAAAGCTCTAAAATGCTGTAAGACTATAAAACATGTTGACTAACCTGAGCAGTGCTCGCAGTCTATGACGAATAAACAATTCAATAAAAGGTAAAGAGCTTAATGTGGCCAAAGCATTAAAAGAAATTATAAAGCAAACACGCATAAATATAACATGTAAAAGTTTTGGGAAACATGTCTGAAACTCTATTCAAAGTTGATTAAACTTAACTAGAATATATAATATTATAATTTGCGTGTGAGTTATTCATGACTACTTAAGTAGAGCAAAGGACTTTAAGCATTTAAGCTGCTGAAAAGAGGAGTACTTTAAGCAGTATCAGGGGAGGGTCAGAAAAGGGCTTCTGAAAAATTCAATAAGCTGCTCATCTTAAGCATCAACGACGCGGCGCCTGGGTCCTTCTCGGTGACTTCGCCCACGTCTCTGTGTGTGTGTATATGTGTGTGTGTGTGTGTGTGTGTGTGGCATATTTATTAAAATCGCTATGCACAATTTTATTTTGCATATCAAAAGGCGACTAGGGCTTGTTGTTGTGCAGATGGCATCTATGGGAACAGGATCTACCCAGCGGGCGAATGCCGCCAATGCCTGTTTATAGATGTATGTATATAGCATACAAAATAGCACACAAACACACACACACACACACGCACACACAGACTCAGCTACAGTGGGCAATGAGCTTTCAGAAATTGTTGTTGTGGTCAAGCAAATAGCTGAAGGCGTCAAAAGCCTACTCAAATAGACTACAGCTACTCGAGATGGTTTATGATAGCCGCACAATTTTTTGAATATCATGGATGTTTAGCCACTTAAAAAAAACCCGGGCAGCTTCACTTAACTGCAGCGCGCGCCAGTCGACAGCCAGGACAGCCGTGGGCTGTTTGCAAAAGTCTCTACATGACAGCAGCAGCAGCTGCAGCTAAGGCAAACTCACTGACTGCAGCTCAATGTAATACAAGGATTAATGGCATCCGTTGCGTTCATTGACATGGCATTTACATCCGCCCACTCGCATAGCTTGAGACGAAAAGCGAGAAAAATCTATATAATATATAAATTTGCGCTCTGCTAAAGTTTACACTTCATTTAACAATGTTG